TTTTTTTTTTCCTTTGATAACCTCACACTAATTTATTAGAAACTTTAGCAATTTACAAAATTTGTAACAACTAACTATCTAAATTTACGGATTAGACAAATACTCGGCTGCTATAAAAGTGCCCAAGTATGGTTATCGCACTAATGTTGCCAACAAGCTCCATATACGGTAATACCTATATTTAAAAACCTGCTATAGCTTGGTACTCAGCTATCTACGTTCGAACCAATTATATTTTACCTTTCTTCTAGACTTATTCTACCAATGTTCGAGCAGAATATATTTTTTCCTACTTCTGCATAGCACAAACATATATGCCAATTTACTAAAGAAAGACTTCTTTTAGAAGCCGATCCCTTCTTTCGAGTTATCTCACCTTAAATTTTGGTAATATCTTCCTGAACTCAATTCACTTAAATCCCAGCAGATTATATATATTACCTCCTATTTCTACATAAGACTAACATATAAGCCAACATTATGAAGGAAGGTACATTTAAAAAAACTCTCTAAAAGCTTCCTCATAACTGAAAAAAAATAGAAATTGTTCTAAAAAAGAAAACAAAACCAAAAGAGAAAATGAAACAAATAGAAAAAAGGAAAGAGAAACCTAATCTGATTCTAATATAAATAAAAATACCATATGTTACCGAATAGAAGCTACCAAAAAATTTTCGATTTTTTTGGGCTAAATCGTAGGGTAGCTTTTATTCGGGTCCAAAATCAAAATCTACCAAAATCACATGTTAGATCGGCACCAATCAAATAACAAGAAATATAAAGCATATATAAGATGTTTCATAATGTGGATCTTCCTACGTATTTTTGCATGAAATGAACAATAATATAGATGCTTATTTACATGCCTTTTTAAAATCGTCTTTGGTGCAGAATTATATTGTACCAGTATTATTGAGCGAACCAATCAAATATTTACATAACACAAAACTGATAAGAATGTGTCTTTTAAAAAACAAACTCAGTCTTTTTAAAATTATTTTTCCAAAGCCGTTATTTAAGTCAGTTTCTTAAGAAAATATTATTGTACCGATATTATGGGACAAGCATTATTTATTTTATTAAAATTACAGACGTTAGTTATAAAGATTACCCGGGCATATACAACGGACAATATTCAAACAAATTATTATCGGGGGGGAGAAAGAAAAAAAAAAAAATTAGAATAAAAGTCTTTGTGGAATGGTTCTAAGTCGGAAGATGTTCGTGAAACGATATATCATCAATATGGAATCGAATAATGTTGGGAACTGTTATAAAAATGGAAGTTATGTGCATGATGATTAAAAATCATACTGATGCTTGCCTTATCTAACTTAATATAAATAAAGTGGTTATAATCAAGAAAAAAAAATTGGTCAATTTTTTTTAAAATGCTTCAGGAAAATATCAAGAAGGTTCGTCAGTCTTATACCCTTAAAGAGAAAGCCAAGGTTGTTCGGTATGCTCTTCGTGAAGGCAATCTTAGGGCCGCTGCCAATTTTGATTTAGATAAGACTCAAGTTGGTCGTTGGGTAACGAAGTTAAAGGGTAAACTTGATGAGGTTGATCATAGCGAATCCCGTCGTCTTGAAGGTGGTGGTAGAAAAAGTTTTTTTCCTGACGAAGAAGTGCAGCTTTATAGGTGGATATCTGAAATGCGTAGTGCAGCACTTGCTGTAACATACAATAGTCTCAAGTTTGAAATGTTAAGAATCGTCTCTGAAACGGCATCAAAAAGTAATGATCTCAAAAAAAAACAACTTGCAAGTAACTTTAAGGCCTCCTCAATGTGGTTAAAACGTTTTTTAAAACGCTATAATCTTGCCTTACGCCGTAAAACAAAAATAGCACAAAAATTGCCTATTGATCTTGAGCAGCAATTGCTCAATTTTCAACGATATGTAATTTGGTTACGCCTTAAGAGAAACTACCCCTTGAGCAACATCACAAATATGGACGAAACTCCCGTCTGGTTTGACATGGCTGGTGATCTGACTGTTGAACAAATTGGTGCCAAAACAGTCCATATACGTACAACTGGTAATGAGAAGAATTGCTTTACTGTAGTTCTGACATGCTTTGCTGATGGACAAAAGCTTCCGCCCACAGTTATATTCAAGGGTCAAAGATGGGCTAAGACTAAGGCTTCTCCTCCTCCTGGTGTAATTGTTTTTTTTCATGAAAAAGGTTGGATGGATGAACCTGGTATGTTGTCATGGGCCGATAACTATATAGAAGATCATCCAGGTAGTCAGGAAAATGAACCTTCTCTTCTTGTCTTTGATTCATTCAGAGCACATATTACTGATGCAGTTAAAAAGAAGCTTCAAGAGAATAACAATGACCTTGTTGTAATTCCCAGTGGGTTAACTTCTGTGTGCCAACCGCTTGATGTTTCAATTAACCGCCCCTTCAAAGTAGCACTTCGTAACCACTGGCATAAATGGATGACAAATGGTGGGTCTGGCAAAACTAAAAAAGGAAACCTTAAACGCGCTGAACTACATATAGTTTGTGAGTGGGTGCTTGCCGCGTGGGCAGAAATTGATCCTGAGATTATTCGTTGTGCCTTTCGCAAGTGCTCTATTTCTAATGCTATGGATGGATCGGAGGATAGTGAGATATATCATGATGAAATCCTTGATAATAAAACTAATGAAGCTAATGAAAATAATCCTGATATGGATTCTGGTGATTCTGGTGAAAATGAGGAGGATTTTGAGGATAAAGAAAATGATGATGCAACGATTGAAGAAAATGAGGATGTTCTTCTTTTTACAATAGATTAAGAATGTATGATTCAAAGCTTTTACAGCTGTCTAATAAAGTTTAACGATCATACTTTATTGCAAAATATCGTAAGTTTGTGGATATATAATATAAAGTAAGCATGAAAATAAATTATGATCCAGTAATCAGAGTAACGATTTTTATGCCACTCAATTCTTCGTAAGAAGAATTGAGTGGTATAAAAATTGCTATCATGATTACTATATGATGTAATATTCGTACTATAAAAATATTTTATTTGACATCACTTCCAGAAAAATGTGCATGAATTAATGACTTATGCAGTTTTATAATTTTTTATAATAGGTTAGTCATGGCAAAAAAATGTCAGGATCACAAGATCAAACAATCGCTTTCAACACAGAGTATGCAAATAATTTTACAAATTTTAATACCGTATAATTATATAGATTTTGTGTAATATCGATATATAATTTATCAAAGATCGTTGATCTTGTGATCTTGACAATTTTTTTGCCATAACCTATCTGCATTCAACAAAAGTTTTTATACACGAAACTATATGAATCAGTGAAATCCCATTTCTAATCTGAAGGCATATATTAGGCGAAATAAATATTTAATTGTATTATCTAATTGGGAATTGTTTAAATAAAGTCATAATCTATACGGTACATTAGTTGCCTATTAATAGTATATTTGATGGCCCGGTTCAAATAAATTCTTACTAAAATTTGATCGTGCTAAAAAAAAAAAGCATTTTTATTGGTTCCGGACCATAATTCTAGGTTCGGATAAAGGTACTCGAAATTGGAAGTAGCTTTTATTTGGTAACTAACAATTTCTTTCATTTTTCTCATTTTTTGCACTCAAAAAGTGGGGTAGCTTTTATTCGGGGGTAGCTTCTATTCGGTAACATACGGTAGATGAAACAAGCAGAAAAAAGAAAAAATTAAGCGATCCGAATACACTATTATAACTCATGTCAGGTGATTTAAAAATTATATACCAGATGCAACATCTGTATATCTCTGTTGTCAGACTAATTTAACAATAAAATTTCCTCTGACCTATTTCTGAATCTTTTTAATAACCTAGTCCATATCTCAAACCAAGTGCTGCCACTGACTAGGATTTGACTCTCCATATATGGCGCCAACGACGACAAAGATCGTGACATTTCTTAAAGGTGCCATTACTCAGGTACTCGTATCTCAAGCCACTTGGTGCCACCACCAGGGATTCCTTTTTTGACCGGGACTTGTTCCAGGGCCCATGCACCATGTTCATCTCCAAACACATGGTTGTTATCTACTGGTCCATCTGGATTTGGTAAGTAAACAATGCCAATCTTTTGGAAGGGGTAGCCAAATCCCCACTTTTTGTGAAAAAATTTTTGGAGACTGACAGAAAAATGATGAGAGGTAAAGAGGAACCACTTGAGCTTCAAACTAATTTAAAGGAGTGTGAGTTTTCTTTTCTACAGTTAAAACCCACTGCCCAACACCTGTTTAACATTTTTTCGGTGAGTGATAAACTCTGGGCTTGTCAGCAGGTAGCATATGAGAACTATCTCTAAATTAAGTGCCAAGACTTTGCAGTGAGTAATAAACTCTAAGCCTATCGGCAAGTAGTGTATGAGAACTACTTCTAAATGACAGGTGCTGTCTTACTGTCTAGTATGTCAAGTGCTGGCTTGTAAGGTCTCTTTTTGCAGTAAAATGTTTT